AAGTAATTGTTGAATTAATTAAGCCAGCGCCGCGATATCATCTATTACGTTACTGCTCAGCAAGCTTCTCGAAAAAATCTAGGACGTACTTCTAGTAGTCTTACCTTTGTAGTAGTTTACCTTTCGTTGGCCTTCTGTTGTTTTATAATTATAGTTTTTATGCGTCCTTCATGTTATGCTTACCTCACCTCATTGCTAATTAGCTCTTTATCTTCTAATATGTATCAATTACGTTCTTTTACTTATCAGCACCTCAATAAATAAAACATCATGCTGTATATCATTTTTCAGTTACCATAAATGGCTTATTCTGTCTTTCCAAATGCAATTTTCCCCTTTTTATCTATCTATCTATCTATCTATTTAAGAATGATTCGAATTAATTATTTATTAGGGCGAAGACAACTACTTACAAATTTCCCTCCGATTCTGGTTACTTTCAACCTCGCTTTCAGTCTTAGTTGCATTCATTTTTCGCGCTGTTCGTCTGCTGTAGACTGGCCAATTTCTACGCGTATAGGTTATTCCCTGTTTTATTATCATGTCTAGCTCCTATAGTGTAATATTAACGTGGGAGAAAAGCAAAACGCCTGCTTGCGCACAGCCAGCCGACCCACTGGCTGTCTGGTACAGTTGCAGCGGTTGCCTCTGTCTCCGTTGTAGCCGACGCTCTTCCCCCCTCATCGCCAATCGTCGACGATGGTAGGTCGACGTCCGGTAATATTACACGAGGGCACGTTAAGAAATGCTATCGCCTGCAACTGACTGTTCGGTACAAACGTGCTGATGAAGGCGTGAATCGCTAGGGGCGTCGATATGAGCGGGGGTGTGTAGGTGTGCGTAGTTACCCTGTCATATGTTTGTTTATGACGTCGCAGGTCAGATGACGCTCATTTGCTGTTTAGTATGGTAGCGACATTGGCAGCTACTGCTGTTAACACAACGAGAGCTTACACCGCGACGACAGTCTCAGCGATGCGACAATGCAAGGCCGCCACAACTGGCCCTATGTCCTATTGCCAGTCGTGTCGTCGGACTGTCACCAGTAGCAGATTTGCCGAAGCAGAAAGTGACACTAACAAAAACAAAAGCGCTGGTTTTGACGTCGTCGATGGCGGTCTTGGCAAAGATGGCGGCAGTGGCAAGAAAGATATGTGGAAAGAAAGTGCGCCACAAATTGCATCTTAAGCAATTAGATACTCCCGCAGAGGTGTCGTCAAGTTCCTACGAGACATACGAGGATCTAGGTCACCCCTAACAGTCATGCACTTACATTGACATTGAACTATCCTATGAAGGCCACACAATTTAGATAATGGCCCACAATGCAGTACTAGTTCCAGGTACATAATATATTGTTACTACTAACTGAAGCCTTTTTAACACAGACGCGGATTAAAAGCGTCCCTCAAGTAACTAGTGTTAATAGACCTTCCGACAGCCCTAAGAAGAGGACATTTATAATCGGTGGAAACGTACACGTATCCCTAATTAAAACAGAATTCTGTTCTTTTTTTCTGTGTCTTTTATGCTCCTTCGTGCTGGTTTACTATGCGTGCCAGTTATGTATAGCCTTTAATTCTTTAAGGCTTCTCGCGCCCTTGAGTTCTGTGCCACTAATACTTATAATACGCTATTTATTTTCTCTCATTTTTTGGCTGTCATTTGATGATCACTATTATCTGGAAGACTAACTGGGGTTAAGGATAACTGATGGCATCTTTTATAGCTGACATTTTTAAGTTGTGGGACAATTCCATGTAGATTTTCCATGCTTACTGAACTTTTAACCCTCGTTGTACATTATTCTGTATCATATCCCATGCCTTCTGAAGATTGTGTTCCACTTGCCGCAATTACAAAGATAACATACTTGTCGTCAATAATTAAAGCTACTGGCTGGTTTCTATTTGCTTCTACCGCATACTTAACATAACAAAGACCTAAACAATGCTGCGCTTCCTTTCCAAATGTTACATTTACATAAACTGTTTATGTCTTGCATAGCTTTCTCCAAAAAGACCTCATGATTTCTCAGCTAGACAGGATGAGAAAGTTTCAACAGAAGCATCGATCGGTCGAACAGGTCGATTTAGATAGCAACACTGAAAACTTACAATGACAGAATTCGAATAGAGCGGAAAATGCCAATAAAAGTTGGATAAATCAACACTATTTTCGTCGGTTAGTGCTTGATATGTAGCAATGTGTTCGGTTCCTTTCAATACAACAGGTCAAGTATTTTGTGTAGATATTCCACGGTTTCAGATCTCAGTTGTTTGCTATTCAATAGATTTAGTCAGTTGATATCGTGTGTGATATCGTTTATATTATCTATGGTTGCGTTTATGCGGGCGTCTACGAGCCTAAATAGGTTTGCATCGGCGTACGCACTAGAGAATGATGCCTATCTATCCAAACAGTGGGCGCCGACATTTAACGGAATCAGGCGGCGGATAGTAGAACGTTGGCACGTCAGCGTGTCTGTTTAGCAGCGCGCTCTGCGGCGGTAGCGTCAAGCAGCGGCATCGACTACATGAAGACGGCTTAACGTATTTACTGTTTCTTCTGTGAGCGATCTCTTACAGCAGAGTACGTAAGCTTCCGGCCAGTGCCTGAACCACATCTCATTGGAAAAGTAGTATGTTTTTAGCCCCGCTGTTGTTGGTGTAAATTGTTCGATGACGTTGCACAGCGCGTACCTGAATAAGGCCTAAAAGTAATGTCTGTGAATATAACAGCGCTTTCTCAGGCCCATACTCGCCGTATTAGCGCTCAGCATCGTTGTTACGGTTTTAGGCGTTTTTTCCTTTAAAATGTTGTTTTTCAGTTGCCAAGGAAGTGAACTAGTAGAATCCACCTACTTTGTTGGCTATAATGATAAATAGGTTGCTATCGTTGCAAAATTGCATCGGAACGTGCGGTTCACTCGAAAATATACTTCAATTTAATTGAGCTACAATTTAACCTCAGTTTTTCTTTTCCATGTTGGATTGTCAACGGTAGATGAACCGTATATTGCTATCTGCGTCGTACACCGATCAAATCAAATCAAAGCAACGAGCAGCCAGCTTATTACAATCATTGTGTGTGCACTCGACAATCGACTAGGTGACGTATCGCGTTTTTAAACGAACAAACTTTTACGTCAGTACTTCCGATATGCAACATTAGCTGCTATAGATGGAGCGGTCGTGAGTCCCGGCAGTACCCGCTTATTGGGTGTCTCAGACTTTAACACCGGTAAAAATGGGCAAGTGACCTTCTGCGCAAATTCTAAATAAGAGGGGTGCATCGGAAATACAAGTCGGTAACAATACAGCAGTCTCATGCGTGATAAGACGCGTTGCCAATCGTTTAGTGAGCGTGCTCATCCTATCAAGGCGCGAAGGCAATCGCAGCCGTTGTGGCTTCGTTGTTCATTGACTTTCTACATAGGCCTCCTTTTTCACTTGGGCACCCGATTTGACGCTCGTATTTAATTATGTTTAAAGCCAATAGCCAGTGATGAGAGTCATTTCCTATCAATCGAATGTTGAGGCGACCGTGACCCCTTCAGCTGCACGTGACAGCGATGGAAAATACGTACCCCCATTGAGCCTCTGGGTTTAGCATGCACGAATGATTTATACGACGAAAAGACCACATGTTAATACTCTTCATGCGCAATCGCAAATATTGAATTGACTAGAATTACTATTTCCGTGGTGATGAACCCCGTGACTGGGGTGGCTCGCTTGCCAAACCGAAAAATTCTAACTAACTTGGCTTTACAGTTTTTGCAACTTACATGCTTTGTTACATCGTCGTAGCCTCTTAACGCCACGCGTAAATGTATTGTCTTCGTTTTCGGAGTATAACGCTGGTTCCCTGTGCCCAGATGGAAACATACACCTGCACATGTACTGCCTGCAAGTTCTAGTAAACTTAGATGTGGCTAAAAAATTCATGATTAGTATTACAAACCCTTCTTTGTTCTCTAAGGGTACGGCCTTCTCGACTGGTATTTATGTACGGCAGAATTGGCTTTATTATAGCAGTGAAGGAGCCTTTCCTAATGTTCGGTTGTGTTTTCGGCCTAACAACCTAAAAATAAGAGCTGATAGAAGAGAGAAAGCTGTTCGACTATAACAATGATCCGTCGATGGCGCCAGCTCACGATTGTAAAAGAGGCACCTGTCACATTGCACATCTTCGGAAGACTTCGCCTGAGATATAACAAGATGACGCTCTGTCATATTGATGTCGTTTAATTAAAAATGCATTGCTGGATTTTCGGGAGTCATAGTATATTGTTTTGCTGACAACAATTAATACTTGATCTTAATTAGTCCGTGTTCGGGAGCTTTTAGACTCCCTGCATTTGCAAATCTGTTGCGTAGTTTTTTTTTTCGTTGAGGCTCAGACTGTCAGTGCAGACAGCTTTTTATCTATACGAGTTGTCCGCATAGGCTCTATAGCAGGACTTAGCGCAAAAGTCCATTTTGAAACTGCAAAAAAGTACTGCCTGCGCTTTGCTTAGTCAGAAGCTCGAGTTAAAGTACGCAAGTGACCGAAAAAAATGTTTTGGGACCACACAACGAGGATTTTCCCCTAGCAGTTCTTGCGATAACGAGACAAGCCGTGAAAAAATCTACTAATTATGTGTAGACTGTAGCGATTTTTTACAACTTGATAAAAAAAAAATATGCCCGGATGAAAAAGACGTTACACGTGAAAAATGGAAAAAAAAAAAACGCATAGCGTTCAAAATAATGAAAGTTCCAAAGTTTAACTCCAAAGCCAAGAGTAAGGCTGCCTATTGACTTCTGAGCTTAGGAAAAACTGTTGTTTTCGGGGCGATATTTGCCAGTAAGATTTTATCGTAAAGTTGACAACTTGAGTTACCTAAACTAAGTAATTGTAGAGTTTTTTTTTTGTTTTTGTTTATTTGCTAGACACTGCCGAATTAAAGGAGGCAGTTTGCAAACATAGTTCCAAGTAATGAACCGAATTTCCTATCGATGAAAAAATTTCGAACTTGATTGCAGAAACTAGAATATTATATTATACAGTAAGAAGGGCCATCAGGGAAGCGTGCGCCATCGTCTGGGCTACCGACTGTTCGACTGGCGAAGTACTCCAACGAAGAATGGTTGATATTGTATCGGATACATCGACCACCGCATCTGAAATTAGCTCCCTTAATCCTGCCTTTATAACATGTAGACGCGAGCGGTGTTTAAGAAGATTTGATGCGTACTTTTCCTGCTTGCCAGCCTGTTAATCACACAAGATTCCATCGGTTTTTGATCGGTCAAAATGTCATCGTCCTTGTCGAAGCTTGTCGATTTTCCAACTTCAGTTGTATATACCCAGCAATCTCACGTAACAGATTACACAAATTTTAGTTTGCGTCCGAACGGCAAGTAAATCTGTAGTTATCTCATAGTTGAATTTCTGTCAATTCAAGCCTGAACGTACGAGTACGAAGGTAAATCAAGGCGAAACTGTGCGTTAGATATTGCCATATTTTTTTATACTAAACTAATAATCGAAAGCAAGTCAACGGGCGAACACAGATGACTGACCTTTGACTAATATATATATATAAATTTGTGTTTATTTCCATAAAGTCCAAGAGACAATTTCGAACACTCGTTGCAATAGCCTTCCGGTAAGCCAGTAAAGAGCAGAAAGCTGTACACTTCAATGATTCAACACTTGTACAAATTGACCAAAGCTGTCATTCGTGGCTATAATATAATAGCTCTCGACAAATTGAGGTTTATCTTTAAAGTACGGAACAGCCTTGACGTAGCGGAAAATCGGCTAGTTTTGTACTGAAGCACAATTTAAGGACGAATGAACGATAGGTAGAAATTTAGAGTGCTCAGTACAAACTCAGAGACCGCATCATAATGGCACTACTAGTCGCTGTTACGCTGATAGTCTCGACGCTCGTACTCTCCTCCCATCGAGAAATCAGCATGATCGACAAGGTTTTTTCGTACTGCCGTTACAGGAAAAGCGACAAACCTAACTTTACCTAAATACGAAAATCAGACTTTGTATTCCTGCATTCGCTCATTGTTGTCACTTGTCCGACAAAAGTTTGTCATCGAAACGTATTTCGGTATCGTCTGGACCCATTTAAAATTGTACCGTAGCTACTACGGGATGAGTAACGTTGCCAACGTTCGAGTCGAAGGCCACTTCTAATGAAGGAATGTATATATCCACAATGGATGATTTGTAGCGATGTACACATGCTCCCCTAAAGAGGAGGAGGAGGCGGAGGCGGCTGAAAATCAAAAAAAAATATGGATATATGGGCCTGTTGTGATTCAGAGATCATGTTTCTGACGTGTCCTAGAATAAATCGTACCAAATTTATATTATCTCCTCATATTGAACATGTATACGAAGGGAATCGTTTCCCGTAACAAATTAGGTTTTTCTACGAATCCTTTTTTCAGGAAGATGGTTCCAGTGTTGCGACAGCTCATTTGTGCTATATATCTCGCTAGCGTGTCGTGTCTATTCAGGATACTTCGACATTTAATTTCTTTCTGCCACTGCGTTTTATAGAACCTAGTATTATTACTACGAGTTAGTGAAATTTCCCCGAGTAACCTGTCTCGTCAGCACTTTCGCTCCTTTAGAAGAGTTATCTTGTACATTAAATGTAATTATTAAGATGCAGAGTCCGCTCACATTTAGTGGACTTTTCGATCATTAAACGCAGTACACAAAGTCATTACCTTTCAATCTCGATCAGTATCGTTTGTGTTTCCGCGTTCCTCTGTTGTGACCCATAAACAGCGAGCCTTTTTAGCCACAAACGTGACGTCAGGGCGTTCTTTCTCGCCGGTCATGAAAAAACTGTTATCTTTATTGAATCTTCCTAGTATAAATACAGTGAAATATAACGAAACGCGAAAATATCTAGCGTGTTTTTTTGCATCGAACCTTACCCTGCACAGCCCGAACGACTATCTTCCGGCTTGGAAGGCGCAGTGTAATCACTGGTGTAACAGCACAAGCATTATTCAGCTCCACTTTGAGGTTGATACGACATAATTTGTTCCCTCGAGGGATGCTCAAACATAATGGTATGGCCGCTGCTCTGTAATCCACTGCCTTTAAGTAAAGTTTAGCCTATCATCAGCATCATCATCATCATCACTAATGATTGATCGCGCTGCACTGATATAGGGCATATATGTGTAATTAAACAATATTATCTTCAACGTGAATAGGAATTTCCGTACTATAATTGTTTTCCATATATTCTTCTGGCGATTATATATTTCCATAATGCTAAACACCACTACTCAAATGATTAGACAATGTTGCAATATGAATCACATTACAGAAGTCCTAGCATCTCCCTATATATATATATATGGATGTATATATTGATATACGTAACATACTAAACATTGAGGAAATAACTATGCAAAGGGAAATGAAAGCTAACTGCTAAAATCTGTTAATATACGATATAGTTAAAAATTAACGTATGGTGAATAACCCGGACTCTAGACAGCTGCCTATCTTCGTCTTCAGGCACGTCGATTTAATTGCTGGGGAAGGACGACCTTTTTGTGGGGCTTCATAGACAACGACGTAACGTAGTACCCCTTTGATTTTAAGTCAAGCTATAATACAGAACTGATAAGAAGTCACGGTTACGAAGCTGATCAATGATGGCGTCTTATCGTACGCGTACTGAGAGCTCTCTGCATTCACTGACGCATTTCCTGGACATGTTTATGTCATGATGTCATGCTTAAGTAACATCAACCAGAATATTTAGGTAATAAAAACATCCAGTACAATACTGGAGCGTACGTCGTATGACGTTTCAGCGAGCGGTAGAACTTGACGCAATATGTATTTAAACTGGCTAACCACACATAATCATACCATATAAACGACGATGCCGCAAATACGTAATGTCAACAGCAATGAAAGATAACAAAATCGTCTTAAAAAATAACAAATTGATAAAGAAGACCTTTGCAGATCCCTGTGTTCTATTGGCAACGTTTGAGTTTCGTAATCGAAATAAATTTTTAAGCTGTTTTTCTGTTGAGATAATCTGCTGTCCGCTCACGCCGATCGCAGGGACGATTTTTCGAAAGTACAGAAGATAATTTTTCCGTCGAAACGGTCCTGCTGAAAAGTGTACACTTTAAATTACTGTGTGACTGTAACTTGAAGCTTGACGCGCTCATAAACAAATGACAGCCATAAGTAGCCTGATACTACCAACAAGTAAAAAGAATAGAGAAATGAAAAAGCGTTTGTCATTTCATTACCAAGCTTGTATTATGATTATTTTTTTCCGTTCTTCCGACGTTCCGTTCTTGTCCTACAGCTCTCGACAGACTCTTCCTGAAACGACAGTCGCCAGAGTAATTATTTTGTGTGTCTGATCGAATGCGCTTTCAATACGCATCCAGTATCGCTCAGACAGAAAATTAATTGTGGACTGCCTCCGGCGACAATATCAACACCAAGGTGCTAGATGGGCTTTATAGTAAAAATTGTCTAATTGTGCGCACATATTGATAAAAAGATATATAAACATATATGCATGGATGCATTTTGTTCTCAGTTTTCTTTTTGTTTTTACAGCGAAATAGTAGATGATAAAAATCGATTCTAACGATGATATAAACGGTCTTCGAGAGATGTTGACGGGGAATGGAAGCAATAGTTATAATAGGAGCAATTCTCCAGTTCAATAACGGTATAGAAATTCATATGGTAGTAAAAGATGCCCGTTTCTCAGATACAGTTTAAATAGGTACGTTTCGTGCACGTCTTAACGTATTTAGATTTACTGCATAGTAATAATATGAATACAAAAACAGGTTATAGTGCTTTTGCGCATATATCGCACATAACAAAAGATGATGCCACAGATCAAATTGTAGCCCGTTCGATTCGAAAGTGGTTTGTAGATTATTTCTGGATATCTCATCCGTGCCATAAAAAGAAATGGGTTACCGCTGATTATTTCCGTTGGGTCTAATTGGAGGACCACCCATTCACCGAATATATTAACACAGTTTTCATTTGAATTTTTTGTTCCGCTTGGACGTAGGCGCCAAAATTTGAATTTGTGATATGATTATTATGACAGACTTTTAAATATGTTAATGTTGCACCATTTGACTCAGTTGAATGCGCTAATTTGGTATTCTGGTGATAGTAAATTGAATAATATTCTATATAAATGTATATAATAACAACGTCTAGCGGTGTATATAAAAGATGAAGTTATTAGTATGTGGTCCGCAGGATCTATAATAGGATAGAGCACTTGTAGCGATATGTTGTTTGGATTTTTTCGAAATAATTAATACAATGTATATATAATGGATGCAGATCAAGTGAAATGATGCTAACCATCTCACCGGCAACGAACTCATGGCGTAAATAAGGTAAGAGCCTATAAATAATTACAGTAATAACAATATTAGGCGGCGAAATAATTCACAATAGTCATATTCAACGCAACTTTTTTTTTTGTTAACTTGAGCAAATTTCAAATCATAAGAATTGCGAAAAGTAGATACTTACGATAATAACTAACTTCAATCTGTTACAGCTATTTCTTTGTATTTTCGTTGTGACGCTTAAACGTTATGTCACGTTCCGAAGTGTGTATGTACCAGTAAAACGATTCAGTCTTATATCTAGCACATGCATATACAAACTGATACCTTCGTGCCGTTACAAGAAGATATATGCTATTGCCTCGTTATTTCCTTTAAGTTGCAACTGAGCGGTCCGCGTGGCTTCAGTATGCTTTTACTTTATGGCATACACCCGTATCCAATGAGCACCAGAAGTAGAAGAAGTCTCTTTCATCAATACCACCATGGATATCTTAACAAGCTAAAAACAACATTTTAGGATACCATTACCCGCAAATTACCTGACGCAACTGGCCAGCGGGAGGCGGGCTGGCGTTCAACTTTAAGTCTCGCGTCAACCATCATCAAAACATCTGCAGGTTCTCGAACATCGTCATAACCACACAGACATCAACACTTTTGTGCCTGCATTTACATCAATGTCGAAATCAACACGAAAACTTTTTACCATCATCATCACCGTCTCACAACCATACGATGGCCGCCGCTGCCTCAGCCACTTAAGACGTACGCTTGAAGCTCGGGCTTGGCCTGCAGCAACCCCTGCGCGCGACCCGCAGCCAGTCAGTCCTTTTCTGTTGCTCCTGTAATCCGCGAGAGAAAGGTAAGAGGAGATCAAAAGGCAATTACTTCAGAACGGCGGTAAGAGCAGCGTCAGCGTGAGTCTCAGATCCGCTTCGGCCCTGCCGCGGGACTAGATAGCGCTGCCACAGTCTCAGCAGTGTGTAGACCGCCACTGTAATAGGCGCATGCTACCCCGTTCGGCAGTCGACAAATACGCAACAGAAGCTATAGCAACAACAAGAACATGCTAGCTGTTGTACTACCACGTTTTCGCTGTACCCCTTCGTTTATCTACTCGTTATTGATTCCTAGTGATCACAAGCGATCAACGGCAACAGCAGCAGCAGCAGCAGCAGCTGCAGCTGCAGCTGCAATAGCAAAAACAACAAGTGCAGCCGCTTTACGGTGATACTAACAGCAGCAAGTGATGGCTCTGTTCTTTAACGGGATGTGCCGTCATAGCCACTGCTATGGCAGCAGCCGACGCTGCGAAGACTCGTGGAGGCCGCTTGATTTGTAGCACGGGTATTTTTAGAGCTGTTCGACGTCTCCATCCTGTTCGGCGACCGCGCGAACGGTGATCCATCGTTCATCACCGATCGCGACGCTGGGCACGTTCGTCGCTGGAACATATACACAAAGCCGGAACGATTGCGACAGTCATTGAGAGACATTGACAGGCAGCAAGCAAGCTGGGAGACAAAAACCCGTCATTTCCGCCTCGTCTTCGCTTCTGGTCTTCTGTTTTTTTCCCGTTTGCACAATTTTTTCTGTCGCTCCGAGAGAGATAGACAGAAAAAGAGAAATAGATCCGGTTTTCTGGAGTTTTGAGAGACGTGCCGACGCTGGCGGTCACCCTGGAGAAATGACGTCAGAAGAGAGAACCTGAAGATCCAAAAGTCTCTTATCCCAATACGACGCGCACGCCACGGCATGTTTCAATGATGCACTCCCCTCTCGTTTGTGTGAGGGGTAGTAAACTAAGCAACGGAAGACATTGAAGCTGTGGAGACGGCAACGGCGTTTTGCGAATTACAGGAGGACAGGACGAGACAACCTACCTGATCTGATCAAATTCAGTTTATTTGCTGGCGCAGAGCTGTGGGATCGGTCGGTCTGCATACAAAGGGCTAGCACCAACGCAGAGCTATCGCAACCGTGGCAGAGACTTGATCGGTGCACATTTAGGTCAGTCTTTGTACTCGCGCTTGGTCAGTCAGCCAGCAGGCAGTTCACTCAAGTAAAACAACGGAAAACCTCATAGAGCGAAAAATTTAGGTCTTTCCACTTGTGCTTCAAGGTGTTGGGTTCGCCAAAAGGACGGCAGGAAACAAACTGCCTATAGCGACCACTGAAATAACGTTTGTGAAATAGTGAGCTTAATTTAGTTTCGGATTCGAATTATTGCTACTTGCATTTTGTGATTCACTATGAACCAGCTGCGACCCGACAGAAACTCTGAGGCAGGCTTCACAGAAGATCATTCCCCATCTGAGCCATAGGGTTCAGATCAGCGCAGAGTGGACGCAGTAGGTCAAAAAAAAAGTAAGGTCGAGAATTGATCAATACGAGCACATACTTTAGATCCTTTATTATTAATTATATAAGTACATAAATACCTGCATAGATAATATATAACTTCGTGTAGTGAACATCCCGCTGCGAAACAATATGGCGATATGCCACCGTCCGTCTAGGGTTTGGAGCACTTTCTGACTTTATGAGTAAGCTCTAAATATGACAGAGGCATATGTCGCCTGATCTGTAAGGGCTGCAGTTTGTCGTCGTAAAGGATCCGGTGTCACCGATTAGATCACAGGGCCATCTGCTCTGTTTTCGAGATGGCGAATCTTGACGTTTATGAAAAACCTATCACATTTATTGAGTGTTGATAAAAATGTTTTAGATGTTGCTCGATAAGAGCTCGATCTCTTACGCCGTTGAGTATGCGATCCCAGAAAGGCACAGGTGACAGGTGATCTGTGATTTACAATTATTAAATTTCCTTTACCTGATGGCTCAAAAAGTGCTCAAAGGAAAATTGAAAAAACTTGTCCAACGAGGTGCAACAGTAAAACGGTTCAATTTATACTGTTCATTAATATAGGACAATTTTAGAGCGTTTATTTAACTGTGCAGGGGAATTGAACAGCGCGAGTTCGGCCAATTATGACCTTGCAGAATAAATGCCGACACATAGACTTCCTTTATCAACCGTTTGTCTGACGTGGCGTTCCCCAAAGCTGGCGTTTAGCCTGCGGGTGTTACACTTGGATATCGATTATTACCGAGCCGACATTGATAGCTCCACTGACGTACAATCATAGCTGATGACTAGCTGGCCTTGGGCCACATAAATTTATAGTCTTCTGGTACCCTCATCCGTGCACTTTTTATATAATTCCGATGTTGCTACTGTGCACAAGTCCATACCATACATTCGTAACCAGGGTTGACCACCATCTTGTCAAGTCTTATATAATGTGTTACGATCTTCTCGATGACGTTCCGATATCGTTTTACAAAATCAGTGCCTAGGCTAAAGGTTGTATCTAGTCAACGAACGGGCCTTTTCCCGACGCTGAACACGTAAAGCAACAGTTCGCTTACCAGGTACTCCAAAAATCAAACCGAAATGGTGTATCCGCGCGTGGCCTTACGAAGAACATGTAACTGCAACGATAGTTGAAACATAGTTTTAATATGAATACAAACACATTACACTGTGTAGTAATAGGACGTTGCTAACTACTCTGAACATGCATTGAAAATAGTCAATATCGTTTTTTCGTTCGCTACGCAGATCGATCATAAAACAACTTGTCCACTATTTATTTAGAGAATTTGCATAAATAGGCAGAAGATGGATCTGACGAAGAGTCTATCACCGGTCATTTACTGATTTGGCCGTATGCGGAAACCAATGTACATAGTACTTGGACATTTTCTTCTCTGCGTCCTTGAACGTTACAACTCAACACCCTGCCTCCATGCACCTGTAAACTCGGTAAACTTTCTCTATTCGAAACGTAGATGAATTAGTTTGAAAGCTGTCGACAATAAAGTTAAGGGCAAAAAAGTTTCTATCTAGAGAGCATATTCTCTTTATATTTTCATCTTCGTATAGCTTAAAATCAACTTGCCCCCTGTCGTATGGCTATCGTCTTTTCAAGCCTGACCATGGCTCTGTTAATTAAAAATACTTATTACTATAACAGTGAGGCAATGTGTAGTAACATGAACATTAATGTTCAATGTTTGTAGTTTTAACTGCCCGTTCACTTGAGATGATTAGTTGAGTAGATGGGTGTACATATATAGATAATCAACCGTAACACGTATTTATCATGTGCGCGTGTGCCATTTGGTTGCTTTCGCACCTTATGTAGCGGTCATAGGGGCACACAGGTACGGGACAATTCAAGTCTTCCATGATACTATGTGGCCATTCTAGACAAAATATTTACATTCAAGGTTTGTACGTACGATATCGTGTAAGCAACTCTCTGAAGTAACCATCACGGATCTCGATGGTACACGCTACCGGAAGTTACAATGGCGGAATCGTAAGTGACTTTTCAATACACATTGTAACGCTTGTGTCAACGTTACGACTATCAGTTAGTTGTGTTGAAGCGTGTTCCAAGTTGGTTTTTTGCAGGAAATAAATCAGTGTGTTCGTGTCACAACGAGGCAGTACACGCTAAACTAAACTAACGAGGCTGGAAAAGCGGAGGGAACATAGAATTCTGGAGAATCTCTTTTTGATATACGTATATTGACAAGAGCATCCTTAAAGCTGGAAACCTTTACGCGACTAATCCTAAGAAATCGCTATAGCACGAAAATCCGATATCGTACCTTTGGATCCGAGATACGAATCTACAGCGTGTGGCTGACAACCTTTTTCGTTACATCGTGGACGTTAAATGAAGGTCCCGTTTGGATCTGTTCGTTCGATTTTCACAAAGATGTGGATAGTCGAGGCTTTGCTAACATGCTAGCGCAGGTCTTTCCCGCTTGAGTGTGCTTTAGTCTTTTGAAAATTGTCGTCTTCAGTCAGGCCATTCTGATTGCATCCTGATTTGTGTCAATCAAAGCTGTGTCCTGCGTTAGCGATTAGAACTTCGTGCGAAGAATCCGTCCTATATTTTTACCACAGGTACAAAGATTCGCAGCTAAACTCACGACTCAGGTCAGCTGTTCATCCAGGATGGGTAAATGCAATACTCGCTCCATGTTCAGCTTAGGCATATCTATTAATGAAAAAACAAAGCCTAAAAGTACCTAAAAACGATTAGCACCTCACTGCTTCACTAGCGTTTATCTGCACATCTATAAAGACATCTTCTTTACTGTTGGGTGCAATGTCTTCAATGATAACCATCTCTAGCCGTAATGAGCATGGTTTTGTATTTTTTTACTAGTTACTTTTACGTACCCTCTGCCGATCGAATTCTGGATGGTATCGTGTAAGATGAACGAGCACGAATACGGTCTCGTTCGAACGCTCTTTCATACAACTGTTAGCTAAACTGAGATCGAAATGGTTATTACCTGGATTTGTTCGAATACCAAGAAGCTAGCGTAAGAGATTCGTATTTGTTTTTAGGATACAGTAAAGATAACAAAGCTATTTGCCAGCCTAACATGTTAACACTCTGATACGAGGTCAATTCTATCGTAGATCATTACGTTACGATCCTATTGTTTTCAGTCATCTGTGCCTCATGCGAACGGATCTACCTAACGAGATACAAGAACAAGTATAACATATCCAACGTATTTTCGTATTTCGCTCGACATCACCTAGGTTTCGCACAGCGCTAAGAATTGACGTGCGGGATATAATAATTTGCCATATAATTTTGAAGAAACGAGCAAACCAACATTACATAGGACTGAACTTACTAGTCGAAGAGCGCACCAAGAACTCTATTGGTGTTATGAGGCCAATCTTTTAGCAGAACAAGCTCAAGCGGCATAGTGAAGTTCGATGAAGAAGAGATGAAGCGCCGCATAATCTCATGCTACCAGCTCAATATGCTCGAATTTAAGCAGTATGCTGAACACTAACTAATAATGGCTATGTAGTGGTGAATACCTGTGAGTCTGACTATCATCCTAGCGTACCGCACGTAAGAAGGTGACGCACAAACTTCCTGTAGCAGTTTCCAAACCGGTAGACCTGGAATAAGTTAGAGTAGCATTCCTATTGAGCCGCAAGTAACATAAACAGAATAAAAAAAAAAGAAATAAACAATAGTCGAGGTTCTTGACAGAATCAGTTTTACCCAGGCGAACGCACTCTAATCTGCCTAAGGAGCGGATTGAATAGGTGACGACTAATGTAACCGGGATCTAATTCCGAAACGTTTTCAAGCAGGTGCGCACGCAATAACATGCGCCATGCATGGCTGTTCAGAATGATCCTTGAATACGTCCTTCCTGAAGTCGAGGCAGGGTTTTTTTTACTGGAAAACTTGTTGTACAGGGAATATTTACAGAATTCGAGATGTGTTGCAGTTGCGCAAGAGTTTAAAAACGCATTGAAACTACAGATAGCTTTCAAATAGCTGGTCACAGCAATGGCCAACAGACTATTATATTAGTATAAACCAATTGATATCTTCTGCCGTACTGCGTCGAAAGTATCGGCTTCAAGTAAGGACCCTATTTACTTTAAGTTACAGGAATACGACCAGCGTACTTGAGTAAAGTATGAATCTTTCGCATTATTAGGCATAGCTATCTCTCACAATCTACGCGGAAATAGATTGGAAATAGAAATTTCTAGACTTGCTTGGATAAATGTTTATATAAAGTTGTCCTTCAACGTTGAT